ATGATTCTGGAGCCAAAAGATCAGCTCCAGAAAATGAGTGTAGATGTACTTGTTGTGCAATTTGCCAAACAAGCCAGAAATTCACATGAAAATGCTGGGGGGAAATGGGTACATAGAAATGGCTGAAAATGGGTGGAGAACAATGATTTGAGATATATAAGGACCTGGGAAAGTTTCAGCCCATTTGGACACTCCATCAAGGTACTTCCTTCACAACTTGATAATCTGGTCAGAAACTTAGGAAAATCATAGAGGGAGAGTAGATGAAGGGATTGAGCAGATTTTTGGTATCCACGGGTGATTTATCAATGTTAATCACCCTGCAAAATTTCAGCTCAAATGGATCAAGGGTTCAAGCACTTCCTTTGCAAAAATTTCAGACAGGGCAGAAACTTGCATTGGATCATGTGCTCAAATTATGAACTTTGAAGCATGGATTTGGATGGAAATGGTGAAGATACAGCAAGTACAAGCTCCACAAATTATTTGGGCATTTTCCTTGCTATAAAAATGGTAGCTCCTTTGAAAAATGGCGAAAGGGAATATTGGCTTAAAATAGGAAAAGGCAATTTTGCTTATTTAAATATGGCCAATATTTTTGCCAGAGCTAGGATTAGGCATAAATATCATCTCCATAAATTTGCATGAATTTTGGAGATGGCTAGGTATGCCTTTGGATTTTATTCCTCTGAAAGGCAAGAGAAGGAATAAATCCAAAATGGAAAATATTGCATAAGACTTAGAAATATTTTTGCATATCCAAGATTTGAAAGGGCAGGAGGATCTCTGAGAGGATTTGGAAGATCCACAGATCAAGGGAAATGGTGGCTCCTTTGTAAGCACAAAGGAAATATCCAAATTCCAAAATTTGGAATTTGAATTAGGAGAGAGTCTGAGTTGGTGCAAATGAGGTCTTGCCCACTAACAAAGACATGATCAAGGTTTTGAGAACGTTGAAAATGACAAGGATTCTCAGAGTCATCCAGAAAACTTAGGAAAAAGATTTGAAAATAATTGTCAGGAAGGAATAACAGCACAAAAATTGATAACCCAATTTTGGGGTTGTTGCATGTTAGGGTTGACCTAATACAGTGATAGGTGTTAAAGACAAAGTAGGAAGATATCCGGCAATATTTACCCGGCTCCACGCATTTATCGGTTAGACGATCCAAAGGGGAAGGTCACATGTTTGCTGTGTTAGAGGCATGTGGCAAGTATGTGGATGGAATATTCGAATTCATCTCATTTTTTGATCATTTTTCATATATAAATTATTTTCATCAAAGTTACGGTTTAATTCCTTTGATTTTTTAAAGTTTTAATCATTTTCTGAAATTACTATTAATTCGAAATTAAAATGTAAAATTCTAGGTGAACACACAGAGTGTACACATCATTGTGCTAAAGGGGCTGACAGGTGGGGACAGACTGCTGAGTCAGTAGGTCAACAATTGACATGTTGACCAGTCAACTGGGTCCGTGGGGCCCACCTGTCATTGACCAGGGATAGCCCAGTCAGCAATTGATTGGGGTCAGACAGGAAATAGTGCATGTGGGCCCTAGGTGTCATACAGTGTAGTGTCTGTTAGGGGTTTTAATTGGGCTAGTTAATAAAATTGGACCCACTGTCAGCGGATAATTAGCGTTAAGATTATGGGGGGCATTAACACTAATTGGCCGGCCACGTTAGCGGCTTAACACCGGTGAGGCAGAGGATGTCGGCGATGACCGTGCGCTCGCCTCCGGCGACCATTCGAGGTGCGGTTTGGTCCTCCGTGATCCTCAGCTCGAGCCGCATTCGTGGGTGGTGGCAGTAGGCATGGAGGCGGCCGAAGTTGAGCTCCACGTCGACAATGGCGATGATTGGAGCCACGGTCTCAATGCGAGCGTGCCACGGCCAGGCGTGGCGGCTTCGGGCGCGGCCAGGGGCACACCGCACCGGAGGGCCGCGCGAGCAGGTGCGGGCGGCGGGGCGAGCAGGTGCGGTAGCAGCGGCATAGGAGGCAACGGGGGCGTGGCCACGCACTCACGGTAGCACGACCAGGGAGCAGCGGGCACGAGTGGCCGAGGCCAGAGGGCACGGAGAAGAGGAAGAGGGGGTCGGGGAGGACTGAGTGCGCACGATGATGCCTGTAGGGGTCTCGGGGAAGCCGGGGGAGGGCGAGGTCGAGCAGATCCACTGCGAGGCGGAGGCGGTGGCCGACGGAGGAGATCGGAGATTGCGGCGAATTGAGGGCGTCTTGGCTTCATTGGCTGTTCGCAGATAACGGCGGGGATGCAGGCGATGCTCCTGACAAAACCTCAGCTGGCGGGGAACTGGTGGCCGCGAGGTTGATGATGTCCATGGCGATGATGGCCCGGCCGAGCTCGGGATCGAGCGAGAGGGGAGAGAGGAGAGGGGAAAGTGGCTAGGGCTTCGCGGGGTGGATGCGGGCGACTTTCTTATCCTTTCCACGACGCCCTGTAGTGCCACACGTTCAGGATCGAGCCACGGAGCCGTGCAATGGCGGCCACGCCATGGCTCTGTTTCTCCTGGCGAGAGGTGGGAGAAAAGGCCTAGTGGCCTGGGCCAGGCCGCATTTTGGCCATCTAAGGCCCAGTCGCACAGTAGGTTCTCTTTTTTTCTTTAATCTTTCTGCTTTATTTATTTCTTTCTGTTTGCACTTTCTTTTCTATCAAATGAATTTTTTTGCACGTTAAACTTGACACATAAATATTAGAGATTATTTTGAGCTAGCACAAAAAGTTTGGGGGCAAATGGAGTTAAATAAATTTTTTTTGAAAAGGCCGTTTTATTTGCTCTTGGACCACTTATTAATTTCCTAGGGTTTTATCTATGAGTCAAATGAAGTTGGTTCCATCATGGCAATGATCAGGAGAATTTATAGAATAATTTGAACATTTTACTTTTACTGTTTGGGGAAGCAAATATTTGACTTGTGTTTCAAATTTGAATTTGAACTTAGTTTGGAACAAAGTGAGGGTTAGCAAAAAATAAACATGATGACATGGCCACCGTTAGGGGGATTACTGTATCATGATTCTCGGGGTGTTACAAAAGTTCAGCAACAACCCCACCTGCGCCAGCACCTCCGTCGGCGACTTGGGCATGACTAGGCGCAAGGACTGAGAGATGGCTCGACTTCTGTGCAAGCCAGAAGGAGCTCCATCTTTGTCCTACTGTCGCGATCGATACTCGCCAGCAGTTTGACGTGGCAGCAGGCCATGTGTACCATGGGAACCGTGCACATGCTCCTTTCCTGGTCATTGGCCAGGGTCGACATCATTGCGGGGAAGTGTCTCATGTCCATTTTGCAATGGCCTCGGCGCGCGTCCCGCCACTCCATCATTCTTGGACCCTGCGGCGTCATCCTTGGATGTAGCCGTAACGACCTTATGAACTGCAGCGCCGCCTCTCGACGTAGCGACGCGCGGGTCTTGGCTTCTGGTGGAACGAGTACGGCTCTTGTCGCCGGAAGGGTGTGGAGAGCGCTCGCCGCCGGTCTCACCTGCCGGAGGCGTCTGGACCGGCAGCTTGGAGCCCGGTGGTGCACCCACCGCCGTGCTCTTCTTCTTCGGCGCCATGGATGAAGAAGATGGTGAAACGTGCACGAAGATTATTAGAGTAGATCCGCACAAGCAACCCTCCGGCCTGGCGCGCCAAAGATATTGGGGTACGGCGATCTATGGGCCCAGTGAGGATCCCTTTGCATTTTGGCTTGGGAGATCGACGATCACGAAGAGCAAATCCAAGAGTACACGCGCGAGGTTTTCTCAGGTTGGGGTCGTCGTAGAGGTGTAAAACCCTACTCCTGTCTGCTAGGTGGATTGACTTGAGGCTCAAGTTACAAGCGTAACTTGTCGGAAATGTGTGAGCAAGGTGCAACTATTGTGTAAGAGTGAGCAGGGTGTCGACCCGTGCCAAGGTAGCCGTGGGCCTCCTTTTATAGACAAAAAGGGGGGGTCACCACACTGGCAATATGGTCATTACATGTATGTGATAGTGGTCTTGATGTTATCCAACCTAATCCTGTCGGACTAGGAAAAGGGCATTTAATGCGCCGTGAAAGACGTCTCTCCTTCTGTGCCGTCGACGTGGATGAGCCTATCTCCTCGACACGTCCACTACACGGGTGTCAATAAAGTTGATCTGCATGTGATGTGCTGACACGCGTCCAAATGATCCTTCCCAAGTCGTTCACCCGCTCGACCCTAATCTTGATAAGCCATCAGCTGGTCGATGAGGTGGAGCGGTCGAGAAGTGAGGAGGAAGCTTTCCGGCAAGGAGCTTGCCAGTGCGAAGCTTGGCGGCAACTGAAGTCTTGACCTTCAGTGCTAACTTAGTACTTCTCGGTCACCTGCCTCGAGGTCTTGTTCACGGTCTTGGTGCCCAAGTGTTGAGGCTTGGGTCAAGTTATCCTCCGACAAGGCCTTGTCGTCCGGAGGGCTGTAACTGCCTGTGAACAAGCCTGGGGTACTAAGGAACCCATAATTTAGTACAGCGACATTCTGTTGTAAGCATGGTTCTAATGGAGTAGCACATGCCTTAGCTTCCCAAGGTGCTTGTTTAGCTCAAGGCGGCACACTGTTTTGGCATGATGCGCCAAATATTGTCTCGCATCTACTCCCTTCGTTCCTAAATATTTGTCTTTCTAAAAATTTCACCAAGTGACTACATACGAAGCAAAATGAGTGAATCTACACTCTAAAATATGTCTATATACATTCATATGTGGTAGTCCATTTGAAATCTCTAAAAAGACAAATATTTAGGAACGGAGGGAGTAGTGCCACTGATATTGCTGCGTCATTATATTAAATAAAAGCCGCTGGTTTGTTGTAAAAAAAACCTTAGTTCTCTAACATAAGGAAATGCTTATTGTTAGGTTATATCACCCTTACACTTGGGATACCCAACCACTCTTACGAGAGAGCAACCAGGTGGGTTCATTCATACCACGAACACCACGGCCACAGAGCCCTTGCAAACTTGTGGTGGTCTAAGAGCATCTCCAGCCGCGCCCCCAGAACGGCCTCCCCAGGCGTTTTTTTTCACGACGACACCAAAAAAACGGCCCAATCGCGCCCCCAAAGGCCCATGTTTTGCCGGCTCGGACCGAAATTGACGCCGGCGGACCCAGGCCGAACCCGGCGCGCTGCGGGGCACTTGGGGGCGACTGAAGGAAATATGACCTAGAGGCAATAATAAAGTTATTATTTATTTCCTCATATCATGATAAATGTTTATTATTCATGCTATAATTGTATTAACCGGAAACATGATACATGTGTGAATACATAGACAAACTTAATGTCACTAGTATGCCTCTACTTGACTAGCTCATTAATCAAATATGGTTATGTTTCCTAACCATAGACATGTGTTGTCATTTGATTAACGGGATCACATCATTAGGAGAATGATGTGATTGACTTGACCCATTCTGTTAGCTTAGCACTTGATCGTTTAGTATGTTGCTATTGCTTTCTTCATGACTTATACAAGTTCCTATAACTATGAGATTATGCAACTCCCGTTTATCGGAGGAACACTTTGTGTGCTACCAAACGTCACAACGTAACTGGTGATTATAAAGGAGCTCTACAGGCGTCTCCAAAGGTACATGTTGAGTTGGCATATTTCGAGATTAGGTTTTGTCACTCCAATCGTCGGAGAGGTATCTCTAGGACCTCTTGGTAATGCACATCACTATAAGCCTTGCAAGTAATGTAACTAATGAGTTAGTTACGGAATGATGCATTACATAACGAATAAAGAGACTTGCCGGTAATGAGATTGAACTAGGTATTGAGATACCGACGATCGAATCTCGGGCAAGTAACATACCGATGACAAAGGAAACAATGTATGTTGTTATGCGGTTTGACCGATAAAGATCTTCGTAGAATATGTAGGAGCCAATATGAGCATCCAGGTTCCGCTATTGGTTATTGACCGGAAACGTTTCTCGGTCATGTCTACATAGTTCTCGAACCCGTAGGGTCCGCACGCTTAAGGTTTCGATGACAGTTATATTATGAGTTTATGAGTTTTGATGTACCGAAGGAGTTCGGAGTCCGGGATAAGATCGAGGACATGACGAGTAGTCTCGAAATGGTCGAGACGTAAAGATCGATATATTGGACGACTATATTCGGACTTCGGAAAGGTTCCGAGTGATTCGGGTATTTTCGGGGGTACCGGGGAGTTACGGGAATACGAGGAAGAAGCAATGGGCCTCATGGGCCAAGTGGTGGAAGAGAGGAGGCAGGGCGCGCGGCCCCCCTAGCCCAAACCGAATTGGATTAGGGGGCCGGCCCCCCTTTCCTCCTTTTCCTCCCTTTCCTTCCTTCTCCTTCTCCTTCCCTTCCTTCCCCTCTCCTAGTAGGACAAGGAAAGGAGGGTGTCCTACTCCCGATGGGAGTAGGACTCCTCCTGGCGCGCCCCTCCTGGCTGGCCGCCCCCTCCCCCCTTGCTCCTTTATATACGGGGGCAGGGGGCACCTCTAGACACAAGAACAATTGATCTCTTGATCTCCTAGCCGTGTGCGGTGCCCCCCTCCACCATAGTCCTCGATAATATTGTAGCGGTGCTTAGGCGAAGCCCTGCGACGGTAGAACATCAAGATCATCACCACGCTGTCATGCTGACGGAACTCTTCCCTGACACTCTGCTGGATCGGAGTCCGGGGATCATCATCGAGCTGAACGTGTGCTAGAACTCGGAGGTGCTGTAGTTTCGGTGCTTGATCGGTCGGGCCGTGAAGACGTACGAATACATCAACCGCGTTGTTCTAACGCTTTCGCTTTCGGTCTACGAGGGTACGTGGACAACACTCTCCCCTCTCGTTGCTATGCATCACCATGATCTTGCGTGTGCATAGGAAATTTTTTGAAATTACTACGTTCCCCAACAGCGACGGCCGAAATGTTTTTGGCGCAAAAACCGGCGGGCCCTCCTTGGCAGCGACTCGGCTCTTCTCGCCGCTTCATCGTCCTCATCGCCTCGATTCCTGCGGCGAATCAATGCCAAAGCTGCCCCGCCGGTCAGCCTCCTCCATTGATGCCTCACGGGCGGCGCAGTGAAGACCGGACGACGCGCGTCCCTCGCCCGCCATGCGTACACACGGTGGCCACGCATATGCTCGGCGCCTCCGCCTATATAAGCCGCCCCCAGCGCGCCGGTGAGGCACAGACACTGCATCGCCGACGCCCGCTCCTCCCCCGTTCCTCCCTCCCCCCTCGCCGTCTCCAGAGCCATGGCCGAGCGTTTCCCAGGCGACGGCGCGGCCGCGAACGGCTTTGGCCGCCGCCACCTTCACGAGGACAAAGCTCGGCTCCTCTTTGAGGCCGAGTACCCGGTCCCGCCGGACATGCGAGTGCCCGGGGTGTGGAGAATCAGCGTCGGCGGGGTCCCGGTGCCACCACCGCCCACCGGGGCGGCGCGGCGTGCGGAGATCGCGCGTATCTGCGCCTCTCTACCGCAGGCGGCAAGGGAAGGTCCATGGTACATCCCCGACAGCCCGCTGTGGGAGCCCTACTTCCGTCGCCGCCACGCCGAGCAGCTCGAGGCCACCAACGGTGTCGTGCCCTCTGGGAGGCTCAACTCCAAAAGCCGCCGCCGATGGTGGGGCGTGCCCGGCCGCATGCTGGAGGCCGTCCTCGAGTACATCGAGGGCGATAACACGCCCAAGCTGGAGTACCCCGCTCCGCCGTCCTTCTCCCACCGTCGTGGGAGCTCTTGGACGCCGAGGCAAGGGGCGTCCTCCTCCTCGTCCGACCGCTCGACCGGCTCTCCGTGCCTCCCTCCCGTCAAGCCGGAGCCCCAGGACACGCCGGTCAGCCAGCGCACCCGCAGCTCCGGCGTCCGCATCGCCGACCCCTCCCCCGCCTCTGGACGCCTCGTCCTCGTTAGGCTGAAGCCGGAGCCCGGCCTCCCCACGGAGTACGAGGCCATAGCCCGGCGCGGCTTCTCCGACGAGGAGGCCCTAAAGTGGGCGCGGGACAACTACCTCCGCGACGAGATGGTCCGGCAGTGCCGAGCCCTGAAGGAGATAGCTGCCCGCAGGCGTGGGCGCGAGGACGAGGACGCCCCGGACCGTCCAACCCACCGCGCCAACCTGGGGAGGGGTGCAGCAGGGACGGCGGCCGCGGAGGAGGCGACGACGACGGCGGCGGCGGCGACTACACGCAGTTCTACAGGCGCCTCGACATGTAGAGCTTCAAGGGGCGGCGGGCGGCAAGGAACGGCGAGGCGACGGCGGGCCTAGTAGCATTTTTTTTCTTTCATGTAAAATATTTTAAATATGTATGAACTCGCTGAAGTTTGGTTGAATTTAGGCGTGTTTTAAACGAACTCGCCGAACGTTTCCTTTTTTTAAAACAATTTAACGCGCCTGGGGGCGGCGACTGGAGGCCAACTCACCCCAGGCAGGTTTTTGCACCGGCTCACCCCGGGCAGCAATTTTAGGCGCCTCCTGGGGGGGGGGGAACCGTTGGAGATGCTCTAAGAACTCCAAACCAGGCAAGCTTGTCGGACCTACATACCATCTTCCAGCTAACCTTGCATTGCCCACCAGATAACTTGTCGGACCCCGCTCAGAGGAAGGCCCACTTGGTCTTCTCAACATTACGCGTAGAAGATCCGAGTGTGGTGTATTACATATTGTCTCCGTTCACAAATATAATTTGGATATTTCAATGCACTATATGTGGACCAAAATGAGTGAACAAAGTAAGTAAAGCCCGTCTTCATGGGGATTTGGAAATGGAACACCCTGATATAGCTAACCACGGACCCAGTGGTCAGGTCCTCGACAAGTTCGAGTTCCAAAGCCCGCCTTTGTGAGCGTTATTAATTGCAAGCATCCATCTTAACTCGTAAGCAAACGACTGTACCTTCTTGGGGATTTGGAAACGGAACAATCGTTCAAAGGCGAGGACCAGGCCAACCATGGCAGGACGTAGTATTTGCGTTGAACCACGGCATCACATCTTTTACTCTCTCTGTTCACTTTTATAAGACGTTTAAAACAACTGAAATTGAACTAGTATTTGAATTGTTTGCACGTGCGTCGGGCAGTTATTAAGTTGCACAACAAAGCACTAACTTCTGAACAACACGGGGACATAGAAAGCCTCTTTGTTCTCGAGTGCTAGCCAACTCAAACAGCTGCAACGACAGGGAGATTGATCCACAGTGACAGCTATCACGGGGCCTCACTGGGGAATCGTAAAGTTTACAAGGTATCTGTATCTCTTTCCCCTTATGTATCCATATCTAAACTCCTCGCCAGGTGGTATTTCAATGTCCGGCTCATCCTTGGATTTGGTTACATACTCATCGCAGTGATAAGGATAGCGCCGACATGGCTTGTCAGGATGACGCCAACATGGCATGGGCACAGGCCACCTGCAGTTTATAACGTACTAATAAATACTACTCCCTCCGTTTCTAAATACTTGTCTTTCTAGGCATTTTAACAAGTGACTACATACGGAGCAAAATGAGTGAATCTACACTCTAAAATATGTCTACATACATCCGTATGTAGTCGTCATTTAAAATGTCTAGAAAGACAAATATTTAGGAACGGAGGGAGTATGTATTATATATATATATACCCAAACTATTCATTGTACGTAGCTACAGTACCTTACTAGGATATAATAGGAGCACTCTCGGGATGCCTACCTGTTTAACCGAAACCTGCGGTCCCCATTCATTTTCCAGAAAGAGGAACCACTGTCCTTGGCAACTTCATCAGCATCGCTGTAAAACACACAAATAAACAGGTTTATTATATCGCACAGCATTATGCTTGACTGAACTTGCTTCAGCAAGCTTCTAAAAAAAGTTCGTCCCAGCAACATGTCTGATAAATGCTTGAATACCCCAAAAGAAAATAAGAAATACCTTTTCTCCTTAAAATATGCCAAAATGTTGCCAATATTATTCCATAACAGGAAAGGGGTTCCTATTTTCTCTGAATAGAAGTTCATGCCAATAACTTCTCCGTCCATATTAACAAGGGGTCCTCCAATCCCAGCCTGGTAAGGTGGCATAAACAGATTCCTCAATTCTAATCCAAATAGATATCAATATTGCAATTAACTAATTTTGATGCAAAGATTAACTCCCACCATGTAAAAATAGGCAACAAACAACAATGGTACTCCCTCCGATCCATACTAATTGGATCGGATGGACTTCTACAATTAATATGGAAGGAGTAGTACCTTAGCGATTTTACATGACGAGCGTACAACGAACTTGCAATCAAGTCTGCCTGACCAGGAAACCAGCTGACCACTTGCGGCCATTAATGTGCCTGATCTGAAGCAACGCCCTATGGCTGCTACTCGAGACTTGCTACAATCAAGCTGAATTTTTGGTGGTCGGACAACACGGCTATCTTCGACACCGAGTAGAGCAACATTGTAATGTAGACTGTAATGCTTCAAGGTCCCTCTTCTGACTTGTTCGTTTGGAAGAAATACTTCAAACTGCAAATGATACAGTGTTGAGAAGTTTCCAACAATCTTCAAAGAACAGGAATCATACAACGAGGAGCACAAACCCTCAAGTTTTCAACAATCTTGTTTTCAGCACCATCATTTCTAATCAGGCTAGCTGATGTCAGAATGGCTGTTGACCCATTCCATGGAATAAAAAAACCCGTGCATGCAAAAACCATATTTTTTCCTGCATAGTGCATACCATGATTTTGATTATTAACTGGTAGTGAACAAATAGAAACATGAACCAGTAGGCAGCACATTACTGTATAATTACCATTGAAGGAAGCAAGTGCGACAACATTGCGACTTATCTCAGAAGCTTTTTTACCAAGTTCCCTCCAGACACCTTCACCCCATACGTCACCAAAGGTCTCTTCAAAAGTATTAACCAAAATCATGCCATCTGGTGTAAGATACATGGTAGCATAGTTGTTAGTGGTATAGCAGAACTGTAAAAAGGCGGATGCACAAAAAGTTCGCAAATCTAGAAGCACTGACTCACCATCAAGCATAGTTATTGGTAGCTTGGGGTAACCCATTAAGTCTAGATCCCCAAACAGTTTCTTGTTGAGACCATCTCTATATACTGGTGCAACAAGGATAAGGTAAAGTGATTATAACACTGACATATACCAATACGAAATACAACAAGTAAATTCACAAAAAATTCTGTGCATAGTGATCATCACGTAAAATTAATTAGATTATGATGACAACCTGAGGAACATTCAAGGTTACAAGTTAGAATGGTAGAGCATACCCAAGAACAGAGTAACAATGTTAATTGATTAGCACTAAACACTATGAAAGTACATGTGAAAAAGGCCAAACTTGTTGATTAAGTATAAACGTAGTTGAACTTGCACTACTTATGAAGAACATACAAGTAGATGCTAAAAAAAGAAACCCAACTACAGGAGATGACATCCCCCAAGCTTGGTCTTAAAGAAGGGGAGTGCCAAACCCTGAAACTCGCTGAAATCACTCCAGGGAGGTACTCACATGTCACGAGCACAAGGGTTCAAGCCTGGGTGGGTGGCCCCCTTGACATGAGAGTGTGAGACTATGAAGTAAGAAATAGCTCGGTTCTTAAGACTTAGAAAATGGATATCATTACAAACTACAACAATTTGCATAATACCACAATGTTTCGCAGTCTCAAAGAGTGGCTGTGTGCTCACCGTCTTGATAGCAGTTCGATATCTCATCTCTGGGTCTTTCTCCAAAGCTGCACAAGAAAATCAACGTGACTGCTAACTCAGCAGCAAAATGGATCAAACCATGCAACATGGTGCCAGAAAACTAAATAGTAGAAGGATGAAACAGGATAAAGACAAGAGGATAGCATGTTGTATGAATATAAATATTTCACAAAAACAAGAGAACTTTGAGCAAATATTAAAGATTAACCAGAACTGGGAAACGTCATAATTCCTTCTAGCATGCACATTTCCTTTCAATCCAACAGAGAAAGAAGATATATGACTAATATGGTGCAGTGGGGCAACTGTGATGTAGGACCATGTTCAGCACATATGATGGTGTAGGTGGCAAAGAAACAAGTTGACAAATGACACCCTGCATCCAAATTATAGTTCCGCACCACCATCACTGAGATTGAAAAAGCCTACCACATCATCAACATACCGTGCTCCTCACCCTCCACCAGCCAATCCCCCTTGCAGGTACCAGCCCCTGTCTCCCCTGTTTCACTTCTCCTAGGGCCTTTTCATCTCGTCGCTTACTCGGGGACCTGTTTACCCTCTTTCTTCTCCTCACGCGGATGTGCTCGGCAAGGAAAAGGCACAGGCGGAGTCATAGATAGACACGCACACTACGCAAGCTTAGCTAGAGAAAGGACACCTCCTGGTCCATCTCTGATGAACTTAAGGTTTAGGGTGTGGGTGCGGGAGTGTGGGAGGACACAGAGATGGAGATACCTTGTCCTAACAAAATAAAATACGCCTTGTAATTTTAAGCGAGAGCTTTGAGCGAAGGTTAAAGAATAACCGGAAATGGGAAAAAACATTATTCCTTCGAGTGTGCGCATTTACTTTCAATATAGACATATGGTTTTCAACAGAGGAACCAGAAATATGATTAATCTGATCCAGGGAAACTGTGAAACATGCTCATGGACAGAAATATCTTGGTACAGGTGGCAGAGACAAGTTGATATTAAATAAACATTGATAACTGCAAAGCAAGTACATATGCCAAAAAAGCTAAGGAATAACATGTGATGATCCAGATTACTGCACAACCCATAAGCCTGAAACGTTGTTTAGCATGCACAAAGCTTAAACTCATGCAAGGGAAAGGGAAGTGGGATAGGGTAGAGTTGCGAAGGGTAAACATCGATAAGACATACCTGACTCCCTTCATAGTTTCTGACGGTGGAAAACCTTTCTTGCTTTCTAGGGGTGTCCGAAAGTTATATACCCGCTTGAGCAGTACACCCCATGGTAGGAAAAAAGCTCTTTCCATAATGAGAAAAAGGTTCATGCCAACAAAGTTCCCATCAAAAGAAAAAAGTGGCCCACCTTGCCAAGCCTAACTCAAATAAAAGGTGACAGACAACAAAGGTTACATTTGAACAAAATGAAGTGATATTGAACAAGAATTAAATAGGGAAATGCATTTTTCTATTGCCTTCGAAGATACAGTTTAGCGCACAACAGAAACAGATTAAAATGCTCATATCATAATGCAACTGTACCTTTGTAATATTAAGCATAGACGACACAGGATCTTTAATATCTTCACACACACTCAGATCGTCAGCCAGCATCACACTTCTTGCCATTAGTTCACCACAGGTGCCACGCCCTAGAGCTACCACCTTACCATCAGGCAGAATCCCTACCGCATGTTCAATAAGTCCAACATTAACATCCAGGAAGGTCTTGACCTTGACAACAGAATAGTTGTAATCTACATCATAGGTTGCCAGAAAACCCTGGTAAACTTCGCTGCCTTCATGGCGCACTTCAATCTACAATGGTAAGACAAGAAAACAGCACACAATGATCACAATCATCTTAAGCAGACAAATTATTAAGGGATGATTGGCAGCACCAACCTTTACGTTGTGACGTTTTTCTTTGTATTTTTCATTGTTGAAAACTAGAGCCAATTCTGCTGAAGTCACAAACCTTGTAACATATACGTGGCGTTCTATAGCTAAGCCTGAGCATGCAAATAACACTGTGTCCCCTACATAAGGTCGAAATTTATATCATTTAGAGGTGGTGTGATGCTTGTTGGAAAATGTTTTTTATATATTTCTTGGAAATAACGAAGAGTGTAATAACCACTGCACACAGCAAGTGAGGCAACACTTTTCGACAAATTTGATTTAACTTCATCACTGAGCTCAGTCAAGACATCTTGATTTGAGTCCCCATCTAAGTCACCTAGTTAAAGAAGAATCATACAGCAGAAATGTGAGCGCTTAAAAAAAGCAGTGAAAGGGCGTGCTGAAAGGAAGATGAAACAGCAGACCTGAGATCTGGATTGGCTCTCGTATTTCTAAGCAAGATTCTTTCGAGGTCGTCACCACACTCTTAGCTCTTTTGTTCCCATGCAAGCTTCTTGTGAGATCACCACCATCCCTCTTAATTTTCCGCATCTTCTCCAGGACTGAAGCAGAATCTTTTCAGAAAAGGACAAAATGCAGGGTCATAAACA